TTATTATGGGTACATAACAGTTGTATAGATTTAATCAAGTTTTTTTTTTTTTTTTTTTTTAACAGAAAGCCTTTTAAAGAGAAAATAACAAAAAACAATTTAAAAGACTAAATTAATTTATGGCCTACTCTATAATGAATGGGTGGCATCCCTCCCCCATGTTGCTCAACAAAATAGCCTTACTAATAAAAGAGAGTGTTGCTGTTTCCTTAAATGAGAGACAAAGAAATTCACATTTGACATTTTAAAATGATTTTGACTGGACTGTGGAGGGAACATAGTTCAGTCAAAACAACATGAGCACCCATCCAGTTAATGGCACCATCTGAACCATGAGCCTCCAGTGGACACTAATTTTTGAAGTCTCTCATTTACAAAATGAAACCACGACTTAAAAATGCACATTAGTGATAGTGGGAAGGTTAAATACATAAGAGAAGCCTTTCACTTTCAAAAGAATTTGCTCCTTTAAATCATGAAAACCCTTAAATTCTTCTCTAAGATACTAAGTGAACTCAAGTAACCCAAGTGCCCCACAGGTAAATCCTAGCATAACAATGACAGAACATATGGTGGTTATTAGCACAGTCCCAACATCAGCATGACAGTTTACTGCGTGCTCTGAAGTCTGATATTAGGATTAAGATGGATAGCATTTACACTATTTAAAAAATTATTTAATGGTTCTATTTTAAGATTTTTTTCTCTAACATATTAGTCAATATAAAATAACTTTAATGAGTTTTTGTCTGAGCTTTTGTGCTCAAATATAGGTAAACTGACCATCTATCTATACTAATTATCCTGGAGTAATCTGTTAATGGTAAAGCATCATCTCAAATTGTGAGGCTTTGTCCCATGGAAGGCAAATGAAATATAACCTAAATAAGCACATAGCTTGAGAGCATGATTCGGTTTTTTAATGTGAGTTTACAATGCCACCTTATCCAGGAAAATTGGATATTGTGCGTGCATGTACATATTTGTGTGTATACAAATATACATAGCAGCTGGCATACCTCATACATACGTCACCCAATAACAAAGATTTAGAGGTAATATAGATTTCAAAACCATATTAAATATTATTACTCTAGTGCTTTCCTAAAACACTGCAAAAGCTTTATATTAATATGTAATTGATTTAATCAAATGGTTATTCGATTAGTCAGTTATACCTCCTGTGTTCAGTTCGGTGGATTCTGGCGCGCTCTTCCTCTTGCTGTTGCCACTTAAGTTCCAATAATTCACTCTAGGAACAATAAAAGTTTTAAAATGTGGTTTCAATTAACACAGTTGTATAGAACTTCAGTCCCCATGTACTGGTACTGGTCCGTGGCCTGTTAGGAACCAGACTGCACAGCAGGAAGTGAGCGGCAGGCAAGAGAGCAAAGACTCATCTCTATTTACAGCTGCTCCCCATCGCTGGCATCACTGCCTGAGCTCCACCTCCGCCCACCCCAGTCCGTGGAAAAATTGTCTTCCATGAAACCAGTCCCTAGTACCCAGAAGTTTGGGGATCTCTGGTATAGAAGACATCCAAATCAATCACATATTTAACCTTAGCTGGTACAATATCTCAGTTTTGAAACTTTTACTTAAGTATCATCTGGACAGGAAATTATTTTCTTATATAAGTAGGTAGCAAAAATAATTGTGGCTTAGTCAAACAGAATAGCCGTGTGCACATAAAATTGTTAGATTAAAAAGCCAATGTGTGTGGTCAAGATATTAGACCAACAGGTACAACATACACAGAGGAAAATATAATGTAAGTCAAACTCATCTGTGTCTTACAAAGAAAAACAAATCAAACTGTTTCCTTTGGGAATATTACACAAAACTATTTCTTGGTATTTCTCTAGTATTTCTTCCCTAATAAATTCATAGCAACTTACAAGTAAATGTTGTAATCAGTTGTGCAGTGCAATTTTATTAGTACAACATTCTCCATTCTGGAGAATAAGCACTCACCTATTATTGATTAGTTACTTCCATACTAGAAGAACTATGGGCTCACTAGAAGAGATAATTTGCTTCAAACTGATCACATTACTAGAA